CCCCAAAACCCCAAAACCCCAAAACCCCGATAAATCTACATAATGGAATGATGATGAAATAATTAAAGGATTTAATGAAAAGTATCATACTGCACAACAACTAATAAAACTGATGAATAATTATCTAGGACGAATTCATCTTTGAATTTAAAATCAATAAGGAATAAAAGCCGACACACCTGTAAACTGGTCTAGTGTGATGTTACTTGCTGGATTCTCTTGAATTTTAGAGCCACTAATTACAAACCCATTACTACTATCTTTCACCTTTATTCTGGAGAATTTCTTTTTTTAATAACCAGAATGAGTTAGTTTTTCAGGCAGCTTTGGTAGTTAATTAGTCACGGATCTATTGATTGAGTTTTAATGGTGAGATCTTGATGTTGGAGCTGTTGGAGCAGATTTCTTATGGAAATTAACGTCTAGGAATTCAGTTAGGTTTGGAGCATTCAGTTTAAACACCTGTCTTTTATAATTTTATAGTGTGATTTAGCTGAGCATTGAGTTTTAGAATCTATAAGAATCTGAAGCACCAACATTAGCCATTCCACCTACATACATTCCTACTCCACTCCGACTTATTCCAATACAAGAATTATTCAACTTAGACCTAGCAGTAGTGATATTACTATTGCAAGTAGAAATGCCAATGGCAGCTGTAGAAGTTGCTTTGCTCTCTCCTGGATTAATACTGCTCTGTGTATTTCGCATTGATGATGAGCCAAACTAGCAAGTTTGCTTGGACTCATATATAGGGGAATTCAAGTTATCGCTCATTCCATAGTCATCATAAACTATCTATGTTTCTTGAGCCAAGCAAGATTAATAACGCTAACGACTGTTTAAATCAGGACAAAACTGATCCTTTTGGTTTTTGATTAGTACTTTAAACTTTGATATTTTATTACTTTTGTATATATGATTGGCTTTTGTATTCTATGCAAATGCATTGTTATTACTTGATTAATTTGGTGCAATTACAATTTAATTAGTGTTAGAATTCTAAGCTGCTAAATTTATCTTATCATTAACTAAAATGGACTAGCTTTTTTTTATATTCATTCTATCATTATTTTTAGGCGATTAGAACAATAGATTTTCTCTCGGCTTAGTAACAAAAAGTTCGCTGCTTCATCTTGGGTTCCCATGATCGTCTTATAATCGATCAGTAAGTTGAAGATTCTTAAATTCCCTCAGGGAGGATTTCAGCTTTTCTTAAGTAGCCTTGCTTAGTTATAATCTGGGCAGTGATTACTTAATGTTTTCATATAATCTGCGTTTTTTAAATGGACTGTTGTATGTTGAAATATTTGTATGATTCGGGTATATATTATTAAAGTTAACCACGTTCTACCTGCTGACGATTTCACTACTATGAGCCTGTTGATAGGGGTCTCTATCCTGATCTAACTTTGATATTGATTTTTAAGAACTATGTAAGTTGTTAATCTGTTTGAAATTTCTAATGATAAGTTCATCTTCATATTCACCATGAAGACTTGAGTGACTCTTCAAACTTTTCTGATTATTGTTGCTATTATAGACTATTGCAGAACTATTTTTATCGTCTTACTTGCATAAGACTGAGCTGTTACTCAAAGTCTAATCCATATTGTTCAGCTTTTAATGCTTCTCGTATAACAATTTGATGTTCTTCACATACTATTCACGACTTGATTTCTTTTTGAGTCGATCCATAAAATTGCGTTTTCAATCATCGTTTTCCTTTGAGCAATCCTTTAGCCCTTTGATAAATGAAATCTCTTTTACTGGAACTACCTTATATGTCCGAGTGCCAGGGTCAATCGCTTCTAAGTACTGCATGTAGTCGAATGTCTCCTTGAATTCATCATAGGCATTAGGGTCATCCATTATAGCTGGGTTGAAATATAGTTTAGGGGGTACTCTTGGGGAGTTATTGGTAATTTGAACTGCAAATTTTTAGCCATAAAAATTCTCCTCTATTTAAGTCATTTTGTTTAATAAAACAAACTAGTTTCCTTTTTTATTTTTATTCTATAATTATCAATTGTTTAAATTCATAAAGCAGACGGGGTTTTGGGGTTTTGGGGTTTTGGGGTTTTGGGG